ATATATATATATATATATATATATATATATATATATATATATACTCCTGCGTGGGGCTCTGCGTCCCCGTCTATTCGTTAAAAAGAGTGAGGGTACAACAGTAGGAGGTGACAGCTTGGCTCAGTGAACACCAGAACACTTTCATGATTCAGAAGAGATTTGCCAAGCACTGCAACAAGAAATAAATAAGATTCAAAAAAGATGCAACGGCCACAACAGGACTCTCGCTGGAAACTCACAGAGTCGCAGCCTGTAGGTGCCTCGCAACCGCCGGACGCCCCTATGCGTGGATGGTGTTGAAAATAGTAGAGAATTGAGGTGGAAAAGGGAAAAAAAAGAAAAAGAGATTCGTGCCGCTCTCCAACGCGGTATTCGTTGTAAGCAAAAAACATGTAATCAGTGAAGAAGCTGCACAGTTAACCAAAACGCGCTATCACCTACTTGGTCTCAAGGGGCCGCACATTATTTCCAGAAACCTGTAAGACACACACACACACATATATACATACATACATGTTCTCTCCATGGACTTGAATTTTAACTCCCACCTTTCAGAAGAAGCTAATACATAACAAATAACAACAAAATGGACAGAAAGCAACAAATAAAACTAATCATCAAAGTCAACAACAATGCATACACACGCCTGCATACGTATATCTGTCGAAACTTACGTGCAGTATCAAATTACAAGCAACTCCCCTGTCGTGCAGGAATTTGAAGCCTAACGTCTGTGTGTGTGTTTTTTTTTCGTTGTTGTTATTTTTTTTTGTTTTCATAAAGAAAGAAAGACGTCATAAATGTATGTACGCATACGTTCTTATCCATTGAGTTGTTTTGCGTTACACGTTGCCCATAGTGAAGGGATGCAAACATTGTAGAATGCAAGCTTTTAGCAATGATGAGTGTGTTCTAAATAACTTGTCTTGGCAAAGACTTAACTAAGCGATTCAAAACTTAGGGGAGAGGGGAGTTACATCCCATAGTGTCCATGCAATCAATCTTTCACCAATGGCAAATAATGTCCCCCTTTACTCTCCACCCCGTTTATTCTTGTTATTGCTTCTCTCAACGTTGGTAGCCGTAAAACCTTGCAACTAACACTCCCACTATGAGGGCAGCCACTGATGTGGCTGCGCATTCCCATCCAAAGGAGGGTCGCCCCCAATTCGTTACCGTGCGTGTCTTTCTGCTGATATCTCCTTCAGCTGTAGCGGAATCTTCCATGAAAACTGTGTAATTTCCACGGTGTACCTCCTCTCCAGAAAGCAAGAGGCAAGTATGCTTACGCCCACACGATACCATAACTACATTTGCTTTTATAGGGAGAGAAACCTGTGTGAGCTTTTCGACGTTGGGAATATCACCAACACCAAGCTGACCGTTTCTATTATGCCCATAAACGAGCAAACTTCTTCCTCCATCTATGCAAGCAAAGACGTTATCTTCTCCTGCAGCAAGTCCCGTCGGGTTAGGCAAGGTGAATGACCCAAGCTGATCGGAAAGTACGATGCAACGCTTTTTTTCCACCTGATAACATAACGTATGACGGCAACCACAGGCCACAAGAGAGACACGTCCCACATCTCGTATAGGCCTCCAAGTGTAGGTGCAAGAATCAGCTATTCCAAGTTGACCGTCACTGTTACTCCCCGCACCCAAAATTTCGCCTTTGGTAGTTATGATTATTGCGAAATTTCGAGAAGCAACTCCCCAGGCAATGCGGGTTCGCGGTGGGCCAACTGAAAGACGAGTAGGCACGGACAAGGTAGGTGTAGGCCATGCTTTGGCACCGAGCATACCACTTGTTGTTTCGCCCCACCCAAAAAGATCACCATCATCTGTAATGGCAAACGATGTACGTGCACCACAAAAGACATCTCTTGTAGTTTCATTAAGAAGTGCTCGACTAAGCTCAAAGCATTTGCTGTGAAACGTGCCATCTCCACGTTGTCCACAGGAACCATCTCCGCAGCAGTAAATCTCTCCAGATGAGGTTAAAAAAAGGGAGTGTGATTCCCCACATGAAACCTTTACAATACGACTATTATAGCAAGTGTTGATTAACGTAGGACGTTTGACAATTGGTGCAGGCAGTGCGAGTTGGCCAGACTCATTTAATCCCCACCCGTATACGCTGCCGGATCTTGTCAAGGCCAAAGTGTAACGCGCTCCACAACAAACCTGAACAAAATCATTTTCAATGTCCAACACCTCGAAAAACGAAGTGTCACCTTCACGGCCAAGCTGGGCATAATGGTTGGAGCCGGCTGTGGCTAGAAAGGGCATCCCTTCACATCCAGCAAGGAAAATTATAACAACAATAACGAGCAAGGAATACATTTATATTAATCATCGCTTACTGATGCATCACCAGATTCATATAAGGCGGCAGCTGCAATCAAGCAATAAAAGCAAATAGCTACAAGTAGTGGGGGAAAAAAAAGGGAAGCCACATATGTATATACACATATCCAACAAAAAAAAAAAAAAAAGAGATTCACTCAAGCAATACAACAAAATCTCTACTGGTTCAAAAGTGCCTCACGTTCTTGTAACTCGCTTCTCATTTGCTGCAATGTTGCCTCTGACAATGACCTCAAATGATCCTCCTTTTGCTTCAGCTGGCGTAAAAGGTTAGCTACCCCTAACTCGGAATTCTGAAGTTGTCGAAGTTTTTCAACAAGGTCGCTTTCTTGATTTCCAAGGTTATCCAACTGCTGCTGAATCCGGTTCATTCGTTGATGATGGCCCAACTCTGCTGCTTTTTCATCATCCTCAAGTGCACGCCAGTCATTGTCCAAGGCGTTTTCCATTCGCTCCACATCGATAACCATTTTCTTTCTCACTCCATCCAACGAGCTTCGTTGAGCGCTGCGCTCCGTATTGACTTGCTCAAGTGCAGCTTTGCGAGACGCAATATAGTGCTCTTTTTGAACCAAGAGGCGTTCACTAGCATCATTTTCGTTGGCAAGTTCAACTAAAGAAGCCTCCAGTTGAATACAGGCAGCTTTTTTGTCTTCAAGCTTCGATCTAGCAGAGCGAACCGCAGCAGCTCGCTTCTCTAGGCCCGCGTTCCAATTATACAAGCGTGCTTCATCAACACGGGACATGCTACCAGAACTGTGGAGCTAAAACAAAACAAAAAAATAAGAAAAATACAGGAAACGGCAGAAGCAAGATAAAAATTACAAAAACAGATACAAACAGTGAATGCATAGCATAACTCATGGTACTGTAATTCTTCTCAAACAGCTTGCGAGCCAAACACATCACCCTACTAGAGGTGCACTCACCTGAGCATAAAAAAAAAAAAATGGATACAGCAATGCGCTTCCTACAGCCCTCACAATAATTTGCTGTTGTTTTTTCCCTTTATTACTTTCGATATGAAACCGTTGTAGCTGAATTTGAGCAAAACAAAGGTGATACACTTCTTACAACAGTTTATCACCCGCAATCTCGTTTCCACGCATTCGTTTATTACCCATGTATTTCAGCTTCCTTTATATATATTAGTTAACAAATCCCATCCACTCCCTTTTTTTCCCGCGTTTGTAATCTAGTCAATAAACTTCTTGTATTCTTCAGCAGTCATCAACCCCTGAGGGATTTCGCTGCATTTTACCTTGATAAGCCAACCTTCACCTTCAGCAGAACGATTGATAAGATCTGGTTCATCCTTAACCTTATCATTAACGGCGTCAACTACACCACTGAGAGGTGAATGAATGCAGCTGGTGGCCTTGACACTCTCCACCTCGCCAAAAGCTTCCTTGGCATTCACTTGGTCCCCCACATTCGGAAGGGCAACATATACTACATCACCAAGACTTTCTTGTGCATGGGCTGTGATACCAATGGTGGCAACACCATTATCATGCTCCACCCATTCGTGACTATCTGTAAAGTAGCGAGTGCCATATAAACGAACGGAGGCCAAAAATGAAGCAGAGCCAAATTCAAAAACGCGACGCATAATTTAAAATAATAATAATAACCTAACGGTAAAATTCGAACTATCAAGAAGAGAAAACAAACAAAAAAAAACAATTATACGAAAACTACAGCGTAGATACCAGAAACCATCACGTTGCCCGCTTAAATATTTTGGTATCCCACCTCCTCCGGTCAGGTTTTTTTTTCCTTTTTTTTTCTCTCAAAATGAATTTTCCACAAAAAAAGGGAAACGCACAAACGGAGATATGCAAATAAAAAGGATAGTTACATTTTATTTTGGCAGTATTTTTGTCATATTAGTTCCACTCATCAATAAGCAGCAAAAAAAAACAAAAAACAATGACAAAGTAGAGAAAGCTGACCCCCTCCTAGTGTTTTTCTTTTTTTTTCTTTTTACAGATCACCTCGGACATCGTCATCAACTTCTTTCAAAATCTCAGCTTCAGTGGATGTATGCGACTTCTGCAGCACAAGTTGTTTAATTTCCTCCATTTTACTTTCGAATTCCTCTTTACCACAGGCCTCATAACTACAAATCCCATCTTCAATCCATTCCTGCACCTCCGACAACTTTGCCCTTAGCAATTCAACTTCCTCTGTACGCATAAGACTTAACGCAGTTGCGTTTTCCAAAATACCATCATATTTAGCCCAAAAAACATAGGCTTCCAAATTATTCTTTGCTACAGCTGCTTCGTGTTTTCTTCGTTCCTTTTCAAGTATCTGAGCTATTTTTTTCACTTAAATGCTGATAAACCTCCCCAGACAGTGGTGAAGGATTTGTGAAACTCACTGTTGTTGAAATCAGTAAGGATTTTCGCTTCATGTGAATATTGTAGACTCTTTGAAAAGAAGTGTTTGTATTGTCTGTATCATTCAAATCATTTGAAGTTGCATTCACCCTAATTTTTCTAGAGACATTTGCAGCATAGCGATAAATCACCTCGGCCTCCTCAACTTCAAAAAGACCAGAATCATTTAGGCGCAATTGAACCCGAACAATATGGGTGTTGTTAGGATGTACAATAGCTGGTTCAAAATACCCCAATTGATCCAATGCTGTTTTCACGCCGCTTACAGTAATTTTTCCAACAAAATTGTTGGATTCAAAAAGTTCAATAACAAAATCTTCAGTTCGGTTAAGAGTTACACTTCGCCGCATTCCCAAAACTGGGTTTTCAGCAAGCAAACGTAGTGATGGAGCAGACGCTTTCACAAAAGGAGTAATGCGAAAGTAAAAAACAAATGGTATATGCTCTTCTAACCGAAAAGAACGGACACGATAAAAAGAGGATAAACGAAGAGCATGATAGGCAGCACCCATAGCAGCCGCTTCATCTGAATTCAACGTTCGATCCACCTCTCGACCCAACAAAGCAGAAAGTTCTGCTATAATTTTTGGAGTGCGAGAGGTACCACCCATCATCTCAAATGCATCAATATCTTTCAAAGATAATCCAGATTTAGATACAGCTTCTTCCGCCACTTTGGGTACCCTTTCAAACAAGTAAGAGCACTTCTCCTCCAAATCTTTCCTCGATATTTGTGTATTAAAATCTCTATCTGGAACTATACCCTCAACAGTAACTGGTGTCTTGCTATTTGCAGAAAGTATCTCTCGAGCTTTTTTTGCCGCACGAAGAAGAGAGAATTGTGATTTTCGCTCCGCAATCGATTTTCCACCTATAACTTTGGGAATTTTCATTTTGTTCATTGCCTCAGTTTCAAGCAATTTGGCAATACATAAATCAAATGCTCTACCACCCAACGTTGTATCGTCCACCACAGCCATTGTCGTTAAGGTGCCGAAACTATCAGCATTTCTAATTTTTTTCCCTGGTTGGACTAGTGGGGGGGAAAATTTATAAATCCCAACCTCAGTATGAGTGCTTCCAATATCATACACCAGTAGGTTTATAGTTTTATTTCCCAATCCTCGTCTTCGGATGCCGTAATACAAAGCAGCTGCTGTAGTACTATGCATTAAACCCAAAACATTTGCTCCAACCAAGCGTGCTGCCTCCAATATAGTCTGTCGCCTTCCCACTGAAGAATGAAATGGTATGGTAATAACGACACTTTTGGGATTCACTATGCCATCTTTTTCTGAAATGATTTGGCAATATTGAAGCATCATGGCATATAGTTCCTCCACAGTGTAATTTCCGTCTTGTGCAAAAGAAAATCCAACCGTACTCCGCTCATCGGAGCGGGTTTCAAATTCCAACATCATATTCTGGAAATTCGCAAATTCGGTTGAATTACATAAAATCCCTATCAACCGATTAATCATCGTTACCATATTTAAAGGAAAACGCGCCGCCAACGCCTTCGCCTGCTCCCCAATATATCTCTCTCCATTTTTAATCCCAATGTAGTTGTCCGTTTTTCGATGAGACTGCTCATTTAACACAATATCAACGTTATTACCATTATGTGGCCCAGCAACCTCAATGTAGTCTGATCCAAAGTCAATGCCCAGAACATTTGCAGAGACTCCATCGCTCAATAAAAGGGTCAGAATAACAAGAAAAACAATTCGCATTTTCTATTACACTAAATATAATAAGATAGCAGCACGTAAAAGCATCCTACAAAGATAAAAGACAGAAGATTCAAAAACAAAAGGTAGTGCGCAGATATATATATATATATACCACAACAAAAAAAGTATACACAACCCATAACGATAAATAATAATCATCATATAAATCAACACAAAAATTCAGGAGACGTTTTGTTCTAATAACAACAGCAATAAAGAACCACCAATCAAAAGCCAAGAAAGTGAGCAAAAAGGGGAAAACAAAGATGTATTATTATTATTATTATTATGCCCACTGACTAAATAGTTACACAGACTCTTTTTTTCCTTTTCCTCTTCGAATCGGCTGCACCTACCCCATAAGGTTCTTCATACCAAATTTTCTCTATACTGTTCATCGAGAGACAGGACCCCCGTTATATCGCACGCCATTCCCACTCCTTTTTTTTACACAAATTTTACATGTAACCTACATTCAGCAATCCACCTCCAAAAGATAGCAACACAACAACAAAAAAAAACACCGTCACGAAAAAAAAAATCAAAAATGAGAAGCTAGAAGATGGAAATCGGGAATATAAATTTGGTTTAGATGAGTTTGTAGTACAGACCCATATTTTTATTTATTTATTTCCTTGTAGAGGCATATCTTGGAGCAACAGGTCCCTTTTTCGCTGCTGTCATAACCTTTCGACCCTTTGTTCTCGCGTCGACAACTTTCTGCCAGATTGAGGTATAAATCTGTTTCGCACCTTTTTCTGTTATATTGGAATGAGATTCCAATATACGTCTGATAAACTCCGCCTCGGGAATGTGAACCAATGTTCTTCCGTTTCCTTCAGGAAGAATAGACGTTGGTTCAGTTATTCTCCCTCGCGAACAACGAGAAATAAACTCCAAGGCTTGTTGTCTGTCAAAACCATTTGGGTCATCCGGATCTTCTGCAATGACACGTGCAGGTGGAGAAGCAGCAAGAAGTGACGCATACCTCAACGTGTTGATTGTGTGCCTAGAGTCCCTTAACAAGGGTGAAACACATGCTATCATCACCGTTTTTGTTGGGCGTTTCACTGCAATCTCAAAACAATCTCTTAGTAGCAGAGTTAAGGGTGATCTTCGGAAGGGAATATGTAGATGAGTTGCACTTGTCGCTGTCATGGCCCGAGTTCTAATGCATTCTTTAAGAGTCATAAGTGACGTATTGATAAACTTTGCTTCCATTTGACGTTCTTTGTCATGTGTAGCACTATCCGCCGTATTTTCGCTTCCGGCAAGGTCTACTAGAAATAGTTCTCCAGGCTTTGCCCATGTACTAGTTTTTGATACAATTCGTATACATGTTACCATATGTGAACGGGAAGAGGATTCATTTCTACCGGTTGCTTTGGTCATTCGTTGAGAAGCCGCTTCCTCAAAAACGGCCCACAACATTTCGTCATTTGAGCACTCAAAGGCTTCAGAACCCCTAATTTTTAGTTCTCCAGATACATCTTCTACAACTTGTACCTCTGTTCCAGTAAGAAGATCAATACTCTTATTAGCTTGTATTTCAATCACGGTGACAAAAATGTCATGTGCCTTAAAATGAGGAGCCAGATCCTTTGATACCAGTTGAAGGATGCCTGTCGTTGTATACGTTTTACCACTTCCTGTTTGTCCATAGCAAAGAACACATGTTGATGCGCCTTCCACCGCCAAATTGACTAGTGGGTAACATGATTTTCTATATACCGTTGAGGTGTCGTCCATTCCCCCAAATACGCCATCAAGGTTCAAGATAAGAGGATCAAGCAAGCACTGTCCTGCCAAGGAGATTTTTGGCACCATTAAAATAAGATCACGACACCCTTCTACTTTACGAATCATGCCCTTATTGTTCATGTCTTCCTGATCAAAGGGAATAATTGGACGGCACCGCACAAAAATTCGGGAGTCTTGAGAAGTGAAAAGTTCTTCCGAATCCATTTCCGCACGAAGCTTTTTCTTCACTGTTTCTGGCGCCTCAGTGGAGTCAAGTAACCTTTGAAACAATGCCGCTTTCGCCCCAAGTTCCGCTACCAATGGAATACTGGGCATTCTGATAGTTTGGAGCTTTTTTTTTCGTATTTACCAACTTTTAACTCTAATAATTGCAATAAAAGACAAACAAGCGGGCAAACAAAAGCATCACACACACGCCAGCAGCACTGGGAACACTGCCTTCGCTGTTCGCCTTTCTCGCCGACGCACCCCGGCACCCTAAAAAAAAAAAAAACAAGCCGCACCCGCCGCAACCGGCGGGGACGCAACATCAAAAGCGGGCGCCTGCCCCCGCCCGGAACCTTTTGACAAACCACGGTGGGAAGTAGCTGCCCCCATCCCGCAACGGCGGTGGCGCCGCCCCAGGCGCCCCGCAAGCTCCTCCCTTTCCCCCTGGCCCGCCACCGCCCTCCTGGGCGGCCGCGTCAAGCGCGCCGGGTCCGGGCCTCCTTTACCCTGCCCCCTGCCGCGCCACGTGCGGCGGAAGCCCGCCCCGCCCTTTTCCTGCGAGCGGCGGAAGAAGCCTGCGGCGCTTCTCCCCCAGCCCCCTTGCCCCCCCTTTGGCCACCCAAACGCCCGCGCCTAAAAGAAAGGGGGGGAGGGAAAAAAAAAGGAAAAGGACACTACGAAGCTGAAAGCTCGTGGCGGCGCGTATCGCGGCGCCCCGGCGCAACGTGCAACCCAAAGAAGGAAACGCAAGGCGGGCGCGTGTTTCTGTGCGGCCGCCGCCCCTCTCGCCCCTGTAACTGCCCCCCCTCCCCTCGCCCCGCTTTGCGGGCGCAAGGGGTCGCGCTATGCAGCGCCGCGTCGCGGGCCGCGCCCCTGTACATGGAAAAGCCAACGGCAAAATGAAAAAAAAAAAAACAAAACAAAACAAAACAAAAATACATGTCTCTACTTTGGGGGCGCTCTACGCGATTCCGGACTCGTACGTCGGGATCATGTATTTGATATTGATGTAGGCGGCCTCGCCGCCGTGCCGCTCTAGCAAAACAAGAGTCTCATTTATAAGATCACTGATGTTTTGCCTCTTCCTCTGCGAGAAGTCGATGCGGTCGCCTAAGTTCTTATTTCGATCCTTGTAAAGGTTGAAAATTGGGAGAATTTGCCTGTAATACGGTACCAGGGCCTGCCCAACGTAGTCGGCACTCAGTACGAGCCTCTGAATAACTTTCAAAATGTTTACGATGACTGTGGGGTGGCGTGTGTTGAGTGCCGTCTTAATGGGCAAAATGAGCTGAGGAATGGTCGGAAGAATTTTTGACCCTCCCCTTTCAAGGAGATCGTAGCAGCCTTGGGTGGCCACAAAGCGAAACGGCTCCTCAAGCTCTCGAAGGCCATCAAAAAATATGGGCAAAAAATAATGATAATCCAATGTGGCCACGTTCACGCGCCACAACAGGGAACGAGTCGCGGCCTGTTGGATGGACAACGGAAGATCCCCACGTTCATAGTGACTTCGAAACTCCGTGGGTGGAATCTTTTGCTTCTTCAACGCCCCCGCCTTCCCTGGGCCATTTGGATCGCCAAAACGCCCGTCGCTTTGAGAGCGGATATTCTCACCGTTCCCCTTGAAGGTGCTGAAGTTCATACCGCCTGTTCCGGTGTGCCCCACGAGAATGTGCCTTGCTGGCACACTCTCCACCCCTGCCGCCTCCCCCCCGCCGCCGTGGCGCTTTTCAGTTGTCGACGGCATCTTTGCCGAGGCAGAGGGAGCAATGCCCGGGCCCCTGACGACTGTGGTCCCGTTCTTTACGCCATGGCCGGGTGGAAAGGGCCCAAATGGGCTTTCTGCCAGTGGGGGAAGCAGCTCCCTGTCCCGCAGTAGTTTTTTCCGTTCTGCACGAGAAAATGCCATCGTTTTGGTGCTTCTTTCCTTCCTTCTTCGTTTGCACCCTCTTCCCCTCGTTGTATGTGTGTTTTCTTTCTCTTACTGTCCTGGGTTTTATTTGCGTTTCACCACACCAAGTGGCGCCTCAGGTGCAGAAGGGGCACCGAACCCATCAAACGACAAAAACAAACACACACACACAGAGAGAGAGAGAGAGAACAAACAAAGGAAAAAAAAAACTTCAACAGACACCTATGCGGGGGAACATATGTTAACTTCATGGGGCGAAGACAACTTATCTGTTCTTCCTCTAATTCCACCACCCCCATCGCTTACACCAGCACCCAAACCTTCCCCACTTCTTCTTCGTTTCAGGATTTCCAGTCACGCTACTTTTGCAATACTTCCCGAAGCTTGTGCGACTTGGTCTTGCCCCGGTGCAGTTTGCGGCGTCCACGTACCCAAGCAAGCCACAACTGAAACGCGCGGTAGCGGAGGAGGTTGCGCGCCCTTCCATGGTACAGGTAAAACTATCGTTAAAATATGAGGTTTGCCACTGTTGTTCTACAAATACATCACTGCTATCAAAGAGAAGAGAGCTTTCGGATTCATTCTCGTCTTGGAAATTGACATTAATCATATCCTTGGTGACACGTGCGGTTGTCGCATGTGGTTTGTGTGTTCAAGACGTGCACCAATTTTGGCTGCACCAGATACAAGCTCCTCCACATCTTGCCGGAGCTCCGCTACATTTACCATGTTGTCCTCCAGAATATTCTTGAAGTAAGCATGCTCCATTTGCAGGGTACGCAGGGCCGCGCCAATTTTATGAAGTTCCTTCACGAAATCACCGAATTGTTTTTGATAATTGATCTCGGCCTCTGAATGCACGCCCAGAGGACCCTCCCACGCTGGGGTTGTTGCAACAGAAGCAGTGGAAGCAGAACTTAACGGACCTAATCTCTGGCCAACACCCATCACACACGCCAGAACTTCTCTGCAGCACTGCTGATGTTCCGCTACCACCCGCCGTAATCCCTGGAAATTCATTGCGAGCATCTCATCGCTTTCTCCCAGCTGACGAAATTTCTCAACCGCCCGCCCTATAAACAACATCCACCGTTGCCGCTCATCCCAATTCAATTTGCGCTCAATCTCCAAACCCTCAGAGAGGAGAGTCAAAATCGCCACCAACTCATGCAACGCGCCGGGCAACCCAACTTCCTTCACTGCCGTACCATCGGGATTGGTGCAAGAAGCTGGGGCCACAGATCGCAGTTTTTCCTCAAGAAGTGTCACATGGGCCCACAGTTTGGAGGCGTATCCTTTCATCTCCCTGCGAAGCTCGGACTTCTTCAGCGCGGCATCCGTCGCAAGAAGCTGCAGCCTTCCCTCCTGTTCTCTTTGCTCTTGGTAGAGCTGATCAAGCTGCAGTTTACAGGAGTTTAACCTTTGTGTGAACTCCGTCGCTATCTTCCCCTCAAGCCACTCACGAACCCTTGCGATGATGAAGCCCTCAAACTCGGATAGGTGGCCATCAAGGGAAGCCAAAAGTTGCGGGGTAAGTTCTTCATTCCCTACAACATCCTCACACTCCCGCGTCAGCTGCTGAGAGCGGACAAATTTATCGATATCGCGTTGAATTTTCCGGCAAAAATTGCTGGACTGCCGTGCCTCCATGAGAGCCTCACTCACTTCTCCTCGAAGCAGCCCCAACTCCGTCCTTAGGTCATAATCCCCGTGGCTCCTTGAGGAACTCGGCGCGATGGTTTTACTCATTCTCCCTACTTTCCTTTAACGCATACCCAACAACACACCACGTAGACCAACGTGAAAAGAAAAAGTAAAGATTCAACACTGATTTGGTGGCACAAACCACACATACACAGGAGGAGGAAACCCTCTCCCGTATATATATATATATATATAAACGGGCCGGAGCTTCACAAATTAGAAAAACAATAATCAATAAAAAATTGGAACACCTGGAAAGGAACACTGGGAGAAAAAAATACACGACGCAAATCATTAAGGGGGGCGGAGCGAGGTATTTGCGCCATATAGCCCATGAAGCGGTCCGACACATGCACACACAGAAATAGAAACATATGTGCGTTTCCCTTGCTGATGTAGCCATGGGTAGATTTGTCTCTTTCTATATGTCTTTTTTTTTTATTATTATTATGCATTCTTATTATTCATATGTGTCTACTCTGCTCATGCAAAATTTGGGAGTTCATGTAAGGCCCCACGAACCTCCTCCCCAACAGGACCTTTTCTATCGTGAAGATTGTATACAAGAGTGGCAACCTCCTCAAACTTGGTGTTTAACTCGTCGTATTGCCGCATCACTGATTCCAATCCCCCAGCATCTACATTACGGAAGGATGCCGTAAATCGACGAGCCTCGTCCATCTTGGCACGAAACTTATTGTTCATACTTCTAAACACCTTGACCGCTGCCACCAACAACGACTCTTGACTATCATTTAGCGCGTACGCAAGCACGTCAAGTAGGTCGGGGAAACTAGTAATGCTAACGCGTTCCTTCATACGCATATTTTGCATCGCCATCAGAAAGTCGCTCACCGCCCCACAATCAGACTTATCCACGCACAGTCGCTTGAGGTAATCTAAGGCCTGTGGAAGGTCACGCACCCAGAGAGAGCGAATTACTCGAAGGTGCGTTAACCGTCGTCGAAGCACAGAGAGCATAGACGCACTTGACCCAAGTAACTCCTCCAGCGGCGAGTTAAGCGACACGTCAGCAGACTCGGTAGTTGCAGTCTCAAAGCGCACTATTGGGGGTTGTTGCTGTGACCATTGCTGCTGCGACCACGGAGGTCCCAACATTGAACTCACCACAACACTTGATGGGTTCTCCGTCTTTCCTCCAAGCGAGGACTTTACAAAGGGTAACGCTGTAGACGCAGCAGCCATAGACGCAGCAGGTGGGCAATTGACCTCGTTGCCACAACAAAGAGAAAGTCGGCCCATTGTCGCCGTCGCACTGCTGAATTCAACAAACCAAGCTTCATCTGAGAGAGAGGAGTAGCTTAAGTCACCAATAATACTCCATGGTGACTCAGTGACAGTTGCTGTACTGTCACTCATCATTGAAAAATCATAAACGCGTAAAACGTGATAGGCCGCAGAAAGCAGTTTCTTTCCAAATAAATTTACGGCGTCAACGGGCGTCTCGAGCGGATTACTCTGAAAAACTTTTGTGAAGTTCTCTACCTCCCATAACGAGACAGAACCGTCACTACTGCCTACCGCCATATAATACTGCTCAGGATGAAAATGAATAGATGTAATGGCCCCTTTATGGGCCTTAAACTCATTCAACTGCTTTCCGGAGACCAAATCATACACTCGTATAACACCTTCAGCACAGCCGCTTACGGCCCAGCGACCGTTTGGGGAGAATTGTGTGGCACACAGAGGTACGGATGCTCCCTTATAAGACTGCAGACACGTTTTTTTCCTTGTATCCCAAATACGAAGACTCTTGTCTCGTGAACAGGTGGCGATAAAGTCCGTGTAGCGGTGGTAATCTACGCACGTCACAGTTGACTTATGACCAGCACCAAACGCACGAACAAACTGTTCTGTGGTGACATCCCACAGACGAACACCACCACTATCACTTCCACCCACCACATGGTGCTGCTGCGGATCAAAGGCGAGGGCTGTAAGGGGCGAGATATCACCGTCTAAGCGAGCGACACTGGTATAACCCTCGAAAGGATATACATAGACCGCACCGTCCTTCCCGCCAAGGCCTACTAACTGTTGTGCACGATTAGGACTGAACTTTGCGCAATACACTTGGCAAGGGAGTTGCAACACAGAGGGAGCAACCACCATAGCCTTTTTTCTATCCATATATATATATATATATATATTTAAAAATGACACACAATACCCAACTAGTAACTCCGAAATCCTCCACAAAAAAGGGGGAAAAAGAATAGTATTAGTATACCTCTTCTTTTTCTTCCTTTACCTCTTCGTGACAACCAATTGGTTAGATACAAAAATGAGAGGATGGTGAGACAATGAAGGGTGCGCCTGTGTGTAGCCTCCATAGCTGTGTAGCAGGGTAACGAGCCTCTTTTACACGCTTCTCACACGTAAGCAACACAACACACACACACACACACACACACACATAGGAAGATAGGGAGGGGCATGCATGACAGCGCTCCAGTCGTAGTAAATATTATTCTTCCTTTCGCGGCTTTAGTGTTGTCTCATGATGAAAAATACTTTCCATCATGATGCTTGATGACAATGCATTTGTCTTCCTCAACAACACCCTCATCCGTTGCGTGCAGCAACTCAAAGCACGGAACACAGTAAGGACACGGACTAGAGGGCGAAAGCTCATCCTTGTAGCATACAATGGTGGCAGGAAAATGTCGACACATGCGGCATCGCACAGCGCGACGAGGCGCCCTCATGACACGCTGTGGATAGGCCCCCTTCTCCCGATCATGGCGTTCCAGGCCCCGAAGACTCGCTACAGAACTTAGATAAAAATAGTGATTGCACCATCCAATGTGCCGAATGACGCCAAATTCTCCAAGCCGCAAATCCAGGTCGGCAAAGGTGGTCTCTGACATGTACTTAACAGGACATCGTCCAAACGCCACAGCATTCATGTTTCCAGAATCACCATCTCCAATTGGCTGAAAGTGACGAATTGGGGCGGTCAAATCATCGTAGTTTTCACCTTCAATTCCAGCGTGGCGATTGTCAATATAGAAAGTTCCACCAATAAAAACAAAAGCATTCTTGGAAATATTCACAGGCAGACAGTTTCTACACTCAAAGGCATCGATGAGGGCACCAAGGGTCTGGCAAGAAAGCACGGCCCAGGTATCATGTGCCTCCAGAGCTGCATCCGGTGAAAGGAAAGTAAATTCCCAGCGATGAGAGTGCTCTTCCAAACAAAAATCCTCAGAGGCATCTCGCACACTCCAACGTGAGGCCTCTGTAAGGGCATTCTCCTGATGTTGCCACGCCTTGTTGAATGTCGCATGATTCGCACTCTCTAGTGCCTTCAAATGAAGTTTCCCTCCGTCAAATTCGTCCTCAATATCACTCTGCAATTGCTTCACAGGCTCCACATCCACAAGAAATTGAAACACCGTTGAACGTTCCCCGCATTCCGCGTACTCTTCCTTAATACGTGCCAGTTGGCGCTCACCTTCCTTCCGCACCATTTCAATAATTCGTTCTGTCTTGGATAAAATTTTTCTTGGGGGAAGCGCTGGGAGCTGTGTCTGCTCCTTTGCAACAAGCTCATCCAGTCTGGCGTCCAATGAACGTAACGCCTCCTCCATGGGCCCGATGGTGAAGTAGTTGCCGTACGGTTTTCCCCGCTGTTCCAACCGCGGAGGCAGGTGCACCACTGTCCCGAGGGGTAGAAGCTCCAAGTGTGTGTACGAGCCAAGAGCGGGGTTGAGCTGACGAAGATCGGAAATAGAGATTGCCGTTTGCGCGGAGATGGCGGCAAGAGAAGCTTGGTTTGCGGCGTCTATGACAATGGCAAACGGATCCAACGCCGTTTTGGACGGCATTCCCCCCACCCCCTTCCTCTCCTCACATATAGAAAGAGTCCAAAGCCGCCCCAAGGAAAAAAAAAAACATAAAAAAAGCGCAATATATATATATAAATATATTGTGTGTGCAAACATTGCAATTCATCCATTTGATGTAAAAAGCATCTCCAACCTTCTTCTCACAGTCTTGAGCCATTTATAACAAAAACGAAAACGTACACACTGAGTGGGGGCCAGGGAGAAGTGGGTGTATAAATCAATAAACATATATACCCATGCACGTTAGAAAACCTACATTTTTTATTCCTATTCCTTTGGTTGGTGTATATGTGATTCTTTCCTTTGCTTCACCACTTCACATGCCCTCTTCTTCCTTCTCCTTCTCTATTTCCCACTGGTCACGAACTCAACATGAGGCAGCGCTCACATAAACTCCAATACAAAATACATGGAAAATTAAGCGCTGTACGACAAAGGCACACTCTGGTGAGGAAATCCGGGTGACGAATGAGATGTCCACGTCACGTTTGGCGCTGCCCTAATTAGATAACGTGTGAATGTAAAAATCCACAATCTGGTGACGAAAGGCCACATTTCGCAGGATATCAGTTCTACCCTGCGATAGAAAAAGCCTTACGCAGCTGAGGGGGTCCAGATTATGGTATTGCATCAAGTACGCAATGCAGAGTGTTACACTTCTATTAATGCCTGCCACACAATGAACAAACACGCGGCAACCCGATTTCCTGGCTTCGTTGACAATGCTTGCAAACTGATCGTAGCAGTGGAACAAAATCAAATAATCACTCTGATCCTCCGCGTATAGGTGATGAACAACAAATTCCGCCCGCACACTATCAAGTGTGTCATACTCCCCCGCACAGCAATTGATAATCGTATTCACCCTCTCACTTCGCAAAGTTTCCAGCGTCTCTGAATCTGGAAAGCCTCCCATATAGAGTCCATCAACAAGAGGTGTCACCAAGGGTTCCGGACGCCAGGACGAGTCTAGTCTAACTAGGGCCAACTCGGAGTCTAGGCTGGCACGAAGCTGCAATTCCTCACGCATCAACTGGGGCGTACAAAACACCGCTGGTAGGTGAGACATGTCCAGCCGAGAAGCCCTTGGCGTCAACAACTGACTTGGCCGCGAATCTGGAAGAGTATCAACTGTGCACCTGCCACTTTCACGTCGGTGTGCAGATGGTGACGAGGGAGACAGGCTCCGTTCAGTCATATATTCCGAAAGACGGTGATAGCAAATAAAAGGAGTCCCTTCGGGTGAAGAGCTTTTACGTGGTGGAGTGCAGAGACACGCCGTCATGTGCATCGCCTCCCTGACGTTTGACGCAACAGGGTCCGTTTTTTTCTTTGTTTGTTTTTGTTACTATTTTATTTTCCAGTTTGTTTGTTTCGTCTGTTTCCTTAAGGGGCCTGTATGGCTGGCAATAAAAAAGCTTCCACAAACTCAATCAGTAATCAGAGCAGCCGGGACAGGGAAATGGACCTCCCCACTTCTCACTCACCCCATCCACTCCCTTACAAAGAGAAAAAAACACACAGTAAAAAACAATAAAAAACCATGCGCAAAGAGTCCTAACGGACACCGTTGGCTCTGCAACGACGCACACACACACAAGCACATGTTCACACACACACACACACATCTGAAGGGAGATATACCCTGCGCTATTATTTAATTTAACTGTGGAGATGTAGTAGAGTTAATATATATATATATATATATATATATATAAGAATACAGATAAGCTTACTCAGAGTTCATGCAGCATAAATATTCTGGCCTTCTTGCGATGCTTCGGGCTCAGTTTCCGAATAGCCTTATCGTTTTTAATCTTCTGCACCACCATGTTTTTCTTCTCATTTTCTTTCCTTCGCTCCATATTTGCCTTGCGGGCCTCTCGGACCCGCTTCTCCTCGTTGTTGAGATCGTCGCGCAGCTTCTTCGACAGTTCACGCAGACGCCTGACATCTTCTTGCTTTTTTAGCTTCTTTTCCAAGTTTTGTGGCGCCTCCGCCCTTTTTCCCCTTGTAGTGGAGCGCTGTGGCCTCCGTGGTTCTTTTTTAAGCTGCCTCTGTTCCAGCCCACCCATTGTAACACACGCGTGGTTGCAGTTTCCCACCCTAAGCAACAACACGAATTCAATGAAAGAGAGTAAAACACACGTGGAGTAGCAAGAGGAGGAGTACGAGAAAGAGACAACATTAGCGCGGCAAAGGACACCCCACTCCGTTCAGACGCATCCAGTAATGCATCACCCTTTGGGAAGTAAGAGGATATGGAGGGAAGACAACATCGTCCAAGTCGCCCAAGGATACATGAATGGTTTCATACGCCGCAAAAAAGAGACAAACGAATTATCGTCTTCAATCATCCATCTTTCCTCGCTTTCGTTCTCCGTCCTTTTCAGGTTCGCGCCAAGCAGCCCTTCACATCAAGCACAAGCCGAGGGCAAACAAAAAAAAAACCGCACGACAACACCAGTCTAAGGCACACAGAATAGTCACAATACTGATAAAATTCATAACGGAATTCAACACAAGCAAACAGGGCTTTTACACAAAACTAATAAACACAAGGAAATTCCACCTAGGCTCTGCGCATGCTAGCCTTAAAAACACGGCGCTCATGCTTGTTCCCAAGCTGCTGCTGCAGAGAGTTTTTATACACGCGCTTGTAAATTGTCTCAATCTCCGGCTCGAGGGACTCCACAATATCGCAGACTCGTTGAGGCATTCCAATGAGTTTTTGAACATGCTGCCTCAGTGGCTTTCCTTCGCACTCAAAGACCAAACGAAGAAGGTCAAACAACTCTACATGAAGGTTCGACAGCTTTCGTGCACTAGGAAGATTTCCACCCATGCTCTCCTGCAATTCTCCAAGTGCCTCATCCACCTGCACTATGTGTTGCATAAAAAGATAACGGATGGCCTTATATTTGGCAAGTGGAAGCGGTTTAAACTCTGAAATATCACTTTGATTCAACTCTGCATGAGCAGCATAAAACTCATCAAGCAGGCGAACGCCGTTGCTAACCATGTACTCATGAAGAAGCTGAATGGTGGCGGGATCCAAAAAGTTCTGCAGGTACGTCATATTCTTATCCACCTCCACGCAACGTGTGATGAAGTCAGGAAAGGGCGGGAGGCTCGCCACAACACTTTCACGGGCATTCGGTGGCAGAAGTCCCAGTGTGGTAAACAGCTGAAAGGTGCACCGCCGTGAGTCACGTCGCTCAATGTACTTTGGATCCTCTGGTATCCCAAGATGCCTCAGAAAATGCTCGACTCGTTCCTTGTCAAAGTACACGCGCCACAGCAAGTGGGGGATCTTTTGTGTTCCCCTGAGGTTGTACCAAACAATAATTGGTGCACCAACGAGAATGCAGAGGAGACCAAACAGCACCATTCCATCATGTTCACGTGAGGTGAGGAAGCGTGGAAGAGCAATACCCACAGAAAACTCGTGGACATTTTTAGCTTCCTCCTCTTCAAATGCCTCACGGTCCACGAGAGCCTTATACGCGCGACGCACCTGAATGTAGATGTCTCGTGCCTCCTCCGTTTTGTTATGATCTGGGTGGTATCGTTTGGAAAGGGCGCGATACGCCTTCTTGATCTCACCTGTCGTGGCGCTAGAGGCCACTCCAAGAATCGCGTGGGCATCAAATGTAAGCGTCACGTACATCGCCGAGGAGAAGAGAACCACCCAGAGCCAGAGCACCAGAATTTTGGGTCGGATGATGAACTTGAGAAACTTTGGCATCACACAGCGCAGAAAGAAGATCTTCTCTTCCCAGCAGACGCGTGCGCCCGTCACCAGCATGTCCGGGTTCGCCGCCAGCAGGGAAACCACCCACGGGAGGTACGTCAGCGTATCCCACATTCCTTCCATGGGACTTGTCATCCCAGATCGCTTTTTCTTCGGGGAAGTGTAATACACAACGGTGGCCTGGACGTGACGAACTAGCCACGGAATGTATAGAATGATCATCACCACCGAGACAATGGCGAATGCAAAGGAGATAAAGCCTTCATCGCTTCCGCCAATGCCGCCACCATCTGCCATCCTTTTCTGTTCGTATATATTTCCCCTTGCCTTGGATACTTATTTGTGTAGGTTGACGTTCGACTCCCCCCTTTTTTTTATCAGTGTTTTAAAAATACGCTTTTCCGTGCGTCTCTCTTCGTTTTTCCCTTCCGCACTCCTTTTACTCCTTTTCTTATTCGCTCAATCTCCCTCTGCGTGCGTGCGTGCGTGTGTGCCCTTGGATACAAAATCAGAGACAAGGAAAAAATGCAAGGCGTGAACACAGCGCAAGAAGGAACGAATAAAACGAGAATGTGACTTTACAAACTCAGCGAGATGCGTGTGCTTGTGTGTGCGTCTCCGGAGACGTCGGACACGACGGCCCTTCTCCCTAGTCTCTCACGGTGCGCCCAACCCGGGCAAGCCACCAAATCACAAACATGTCTCCTCACGTTCATACATTCGCGAGTCACTCTCGTCATGTCACAACGGCGAGGCAAGTGCGGCGCAGGTCACGCGTCTGGGCCCTTGAGCAACAACACCTTCATCAGCCACAGAAATACAATGAAAGATAATGCAAGAAGAAGATGCCCCGCACGCAACTCACATGAGCTACCGCTATCTAACCCCCCAGTGCGGATGTTGTCACGAGTAACCATCACTTCAACACTGTCGCTAAGCTCTCTCAATGTCTTTGGGGACGCTGAGCTCATCGCCATGGCACCCAATGCAATGACACTTTATGAAGCTGTGGAGGAATATTTACAAAAACAAAAAAAAGGGAGAGAGAGAGAGACATGCTATGCAACTGTGTGCCACCATTTCAAGTACACAATGGAAGTAGGAAAGAAAGAGGGGAAAATTGAAGAAACAATGCAACAACGACAAAACACACGCACACAAACGGAGTTTTCACTTCCAAAATGGACTCCACCTTTTTTGGCTGTTTATGTGTGTGTGTGGTGGAGAGAGAGAGAAGAAGAGAAGAAGAGAGGAGGGAGGGGAA